ACAAAGTACTATAGAAGAACAATCCCAACTGGATATACAAGCTTCAAATTCCAGTATGATCAAGATAAATATAGCAGTCTTTTCTTAAGCACAATGAATATTAAATATAGTACGTATTAGCAGGATCTGTAGTGTAATTAATTTTTGTGTTCACTTCAGCAATCTGTACCAAAATATAGCTGTTTCTTACATGTGAAACCTCTTTTTAAATGAGAATGATTAACTAAATCAGCATTTATAAAAATTCTAACAACCTGGATCATCTGAACAAGATCTCCGCAATTCGATGAGAGAGCTTCTTTATAAATAAACAGCAAGTTCTGGCGCACCATCTGCCAGGGGTCACCATAATCATCTTTTTTCTCCATAACTCTTGAAAGGAGAGCTTTTAGAACAGCACTATCACAAGAGAAGAAAACAGAATGATTGAAGTAAGTTATCTATTCTTTATATGTTTAAAGTAAATTCCCAGGGTTTGCCCAAAAAAAAAAAAAAACGTAAATTCCCAGGAAGAGGATGTCAAATGCAAGGAATGGAATTGAATCTTTAAGGCCAGGGATTCCTTAATCCGCTATAAAAGATCCCTGTCTAGTATCACATGAACATTTTCGACTGTCTAAGATTTCCTATCGGACTAAATGAATACCAAATAGCAATGTTTAAAAAGCTCCTCTTTTTTTTTTTGTGACCCCTGAGTCTAGACCTCAACTCCTAGCCCAAGTCAAGGTTCTCAAGTTCTTCGGAACAGAAAAGCCAAATCCACTCAAAAGTGGATACAGTATGGATGTATTATAATAAGACACTATCCATGCAATTTATTCAACAAAAAGGACAAGGCTTCAACATACTTCCCTACACAAGAATTAGCATAGAAACGAATCAATGTTGGGAAGTTTCATACATAAGACAGCTACACATACCACAACTCTGAATAGATCTTAATCCGAATCTTACTCTATTTTTAGCACAATCCCAACCAAACAAATAAAGTGGCCTTCTACCCAAACATGTGTAGAAAGAAAAACTAAAACAGGCATAGTAATTCTGCCAAACATGTGTTCTCCAACATTCAGAGGTTTACTCAAGATGATTAAAGGACTAGTTTTATTAACTGGATATGGAGAACAGTAAATGTATTAATATATACGCAAACAAAACTAGTGAAAATCATTCACTGTAAAAGTGATCACCCTTTTTACTGATTTGCCTATACCCTTACTTATTCAACAAAAAACGGTAAAATGAATGCCAAAGGGAACAATCAGGACTAGGAAACAATAACAAATCGCACAGTTATAATTTAAAAACCTCATGTATTTGTAGACTGTATAAATCAAGCACATACTGATAATTCTCTTTCTCTACTCCATAATCAAGGTGAAGATAACGAATGTGATCAGCTGCCCCACGCTCCTCCCCTTCATCTAACTTTGTTTTCATAGCATCCAACTGTGCTAACTGAACATTCCTCTGTATCAAAGCAAACACATTGATGTTATCCAGCTCCGGAGAACCAATGCATGTGGTGGCCTCATTAATCTCCCTCCCCTGTTCTTCTCCCTGAACTTCCTCCACCAAACATGTATCATAACTCTCGCAACCCACAAGTTGCCTCTGTATATTACAACACAAAGCATCGAAAACATCAGAGTAATCCAATACTATACTCCTCAAAGACACAACTGCATCCTCCTCAATCTTATTACTTCCTTCACTACTACTCGTATCAACATCAAATTTCAACCTCTCAACACCCAACTCCAAAACACCTTGCAAAACCCTCAAACAATCTCCCAATCCACCATTCTCATCCCTTTTCTCTTCCTCACTACTCTCCAACTCAACTCTCTGATCTTCCTTAATCCTCTCAGTAACCCTATCGATCAAAACCTGGACCATCAACAAAAAATCCGCACGCAAACTAAGAGTCTCCGAATCAAAACCCCAAGGAGAAGTAGGATTCTCGAATCTAAGAAGCTCAATCGTGGAGAGGAAAGAGAGAAGAGACGGCGAAGGGCAAGAGCGTGACCAGAGGACATTATCGAATCTTCCAGCGTTAGAGACGATGGTTTGAAGAATCGTGAGTGCGAGGTCAGGGTTACGAACCCTGAGAGCGAGTAACGTAGCCTTCAATGGCTCGAATTGAGCCAGGTGAAGGTGGTTCGCCGCGAGACGAGAGAGAATCTCCGTTTCCTTATCCATTGCCGGCCACAAATTCCGATCACTGAAACTTCTGATACATACCGATCAATCTGAAATATCTTCGAGGCTTTCACAGTTGTGATTTTCAGATATTTTGTTGTGAATAATTTTTTTGGTCTGGAATCGTCAACTTAGCTAAAGAACTGAGAAGCGTGGCCTAGTCGAGCAGACCATTAAGGCTGGTACAGCAAATGTAGTAAACCGATTGATTATATTAAACCGGTTTACTACATTTGCTAACCAATGGTTTTTATTTTAGTTTTTTAACGGTTTTCATTACTTTTTTTATACGAAGATATATTGATTTGGCTAAAAAAAAAAAAAAAATTTTGAGAAATACCCCTTTTGCTGTACCCTTTTTAAAAATACCCTCTTTATCCATCCATTTTCAAAAATACCCCTTTTAAAATATAAAAAATTATAAAGTTTTATATAGTTTATAAGGTATTTCTATATAATAACTACTACTGGGATATTCGATACAAATATTTTAAAATGTTTTAAATAGTTTTAAATCGTTTTATAAGTTTTATAAGGTTTTTAAAAGGGTTTATACGGTTTTTATAAGGTTTTTATATTTTATTTTTACGCTATTTATGAAAGGTATATAAAGTTTTATACACATATAAAGGTAATTTGTATATATATTTATAAGTTTACACACATATTTAGATAAATTTCAACATTTTTAGTGGGTTTTTTGATAAAGTTTGAAACGGGGGTATTTTTAAAAAGAGGTATATGAAAAGGGGTATTTTTGAAATTCCCCCAAAAAAAATTGAATATATTATTTTGATAATTACAGATAAATTACATAAATAGTGATAATAATTTATCTACACCATCGAAAAAATATTTTTTAGTTATAAGATAAATTTAATTTTATACACCATCACAAAAACCTATAGTCGATAATCATTTTTACAAATATATAGATTTAGAAAAACTAAATTTCATTTTTTAAAATTACAAATTCAAAAGGATATCTAATTTATAATTCTAATTATTGATAATATGAAAAAAAAAATCGGTTAATAATAAATGTTTATTACTTTATTAGTTGAAACTTATAATTGTTTGGGCAAGTGATTGGTTTGTGAGAATTTACTGGAAAAAAAAAAGAAATTTAGATTGAATAGTCTTCTTTATCGATCAAAGTATCATTAGCAAATACAAGAAGAAAAGCACACATAATTAATCTATGAACCCTAGTCGTGTTCTCAAGTTAATTGTTGTGTGGTCTTGAAGTTTATGTAATTAATTTTCTTGTATTTGCTCCCTAATTTGTGTGTGTTTTTGTGTAATATCATCTCGAGTTAGATTTCAATTGTTTAACGGTTGTTAATTCATATCGTGAATTGAAAGCTGTTTAGCGGTTGGTCAGAATCTTTAAGAGGCTCTTTTCTTTATGATTCAGTCCTTTAAACAATTGTCCAAGTCTTTTGAATGATCTTTTACGTGTTGTAAACGTTCATGTGGTTTAACACATATGTTTGTTAGAACCAGTTACCAATGCTTACTATATGAACTTTTTCGACAAGTTGCATTGGACTACATACTTTTTCCCGAGCAACTTTTTAAACTGAAATTTATTTTGAGTAAGAAATAAGTGTCCAAAATTGATTGATTAAAAAGCACAAATTAGAAAATTGTCCAAAATATCCACAATGGAAACTTGAAGAAAATTTGTCTATTATACATGAGAGGATGTATTAGTCTAAGTTAAAGCTTTGACACCAAAAGAGAGAAATCATGTCTATTCGAAACCGAGAGGTTTGGTTTTAGAGCTCAACTATCGGTGAGTTATTAATGGTTATGAGCCAAGGAAAGAGCCCCTCATAGTACTAGATAGCCACTAGAGAGTGTTTCCTGAAAATTCTTTTGCCGAAATATATTGAAATTGGAACTAAATATAATTTGACATAAAGGTTTTGTCCATAATATAATGAAAATGAAAAAGACTAAAATTAACGAGAAGTAATATACAGTAAAACCTCTATAAATTAATAATGTTGGGACCTTAGAATTTTATTAATTTATAGTGATATTAATTTATCTATAAATTAATATTTATTATTTTATAGTGTAAATTAATAATTATTAATTTATATTGGTATTTTCACTCTTAAAGTTTTTTAAAATATGAATTAGGACAATTTTACAAAACAAGAATAGTTTTTAAGATTATATAAATTTTTATAGTTTCGAATTGAATTCTATATTTATAAAAAAATAAAAATGAATTCAAAATTTTATAAATAAATTCCTATCTTCACAAAGTACATACATGATGACAAAAAAAAATACAAAGTACATACATAAATTCAAATTTATGATTAATACCTCAATTGTTATCTTTTATACCATCCTATGAAACAAACAAAAAATGAATATGATGCATATTTATAAATAGAAAACATTAGAAATTTTTTGTCTATTTTATGATGTTATGGAATATATTATAAGATTATATATAGTATAAAAATATAATATATTTTTTATATAGATATGAGGTCTAGGAGAAATTCATTTTTAGAAAAAACTAAAAGCATATTTCAACATAACTACTTATATATATATGTATTTACATAGTGATTATTAATTTATGATATTATTGGGACTATATTTACATAGGGATTTCAAAAAAACTTATTATCTTATTATCTTATCGAATTTGGTTAATTTTTACATTGGCCTGACTTGTGACTAGCAAAATTTATTAATTTATAGTGTTTATTAATTTATAGAGTAGTAATTTATAGAGGTTTACTGTATATACCAAAAAAATAATCATCCTAACATATTTTTTTTTTCATTTTTACATTACAAAGCTACATGATCTCATCATTTAAAAACAAAGTTATAAAAATGAAAAGAAGAAAGAAACTTAATACAAGAGCAAACGTGTAGCTCGGATCTTAGTTGGATCAGCAAAGCGACAAGAGAAAGACCTAGAAAGATTCTCAGGTTCATCATGGTCATGCCACCCTGGTCCTTGATCAAAATTCAAAGAGTAATCATAAGCCTCATAAGCCACGACCTTAGTTGATGAAGAAGAAGAAGAAGAACGATGAGAAGAAGGCAACAGCTTAAGCTTCATCAACAAAACTTTCCACTTGGGCAAGACGACTCTTTCTTTTTCTCTTCTTTGTTGTTGCTTTGGTTCTCTGCAACTTTTGCTATATCTTCCAAGTACAATCGTCTCTCTGTAAGATGAAGCTGATGATGATGATAACATGTTGTTCCATCTCTTCTTGCTTGGAGATTCAAACATCATTTGGTTGGTCGAGTAATACTTTTGTCTTATGTCTTTTGTGAAAATGTTAGCTGTGTTATGTTATTTATATAGATGTAGTAGATGGATGGATAAGGAGACGTAAAAGAGAGACTATTCAAAGTCAGCTTTGAAAGGCTTATGAAAACTGCGTTAGCCAGCTTGTATGAATGAAAATAATTAATTATTGAAAAAGGGTAGCATTTTAATTGCTTGTTTCTGACTAATATACAAATATAATAGTCAAACGTTGACCTGTTTTAGTTTATTCTTTGGATCTTTTTTGTTGTTCTTGACATAGTAAGATGTACATACATGGAGAAAATAAGATAGTGATTTATTTGGAGAGTTTGTCTCTTCTCTATAAATTTAAGTTCTAATTAATTTAGAAAAGAAAAGATAGAAAAATGAGTTCTAATTACTATAAGATAATATATATTCATATATATATATATATAGTATAAATATGACATTTGTAGACAACATATCGAATTTCTTACAGATATTTTTATTGAAATTTTTGATAATTTGCAGACAAAATTTGTAGTGTGCAATACGATAATAAAAACTAGATGGAAACATCCAAATGAACTAGAATATTGGGGAAAGAATCATTAGTTATAATGGTCATTTTTCAAAATATATTATTGTTCAATAAAATTAAGCATTAATTTTTTGTTAATTAACTTTCCAACATATATATTGTCAGTATTTAGTTTTATGCAAGGAGAATTTCAAAAATACATTTTTCAAATATCACTTTTCAAAAATACTTCTTTTCAAACTTTATAAAAAAAACCACAAAGTAAAATGCTATAAATAAGAAAATTATTCGTACCGAGAAGGGCAGTGTAAATATACGATTTCACTAGTATTTTAATTTAATATATATATAATATATATATATATATATATATAATATATTGATTTCTCAATATAGAAAAGCATCATTTTTTTATAATATTATTCGTTGTTAAAATGTGCAAGGGAGTTATAAATATATAAATATAAGTTTATCAACTATAAAAGTGGATTCATATATAATCTTTCTTATTTGTTGTCAAAACAGGTTTTTCATAAATTTATAATCAATTTTTTGGTCAAATATTATAATATTTATTGCATCCAAAATAGAAATTTTATTTAAATCAAATTGTCTTAATTCATATTAATTATCTAGAGCTATAAGATGAAATCTTCAATTATAAAAAAGATTCTTAAAACTGAATTAAATATTATATTTTCGATATTATTAATTTATGGAGATATTACTGTAATTTGAGTTTGATTCACATTTAAATTTAGATTCTATAGTAAGTGTATGAGTTATATGACCGACAAACACAAATCAAAATCATTTTTAGTTTCTAACCATAAAAACAACATATTAAGAAGATATAATACTGTATTGGGTTTCTCCATCCTCCTAGTAGTCCACGAATTTGACTGCCATATTATAAAAAAGCTTTATCCAATCAATGTGATACTTGCATGAAAGGTTTTAGTATAATTAAAAATAGTTAATTATATAAACTAAGACCACACTCTTCATTATGTAGTTTTAGTATTCTATTTAAATAAAAAATTATATGACTAATTATAGTATGTATCATGTAACTACCACATGTTAAATATGCATAAATCATGTGTCAGGTATGTGTATTATTAAAAAAATAAAGTAGGGAAACAGTGTTTCCGAAACACCATGTGATATTAATATTATTATACCTTTGTTGGCTTGACACCATAGTCAATAGGAAAAATGAGTGGTACTATGCATGCAGAAGGCCATTTACATTTTTTAGATAGTGAATTTTACCTTTGTTGATGGGACAATTCCTGTTATATTTTTAGGGTTTATATTTACATCTTGATATCTTGATATAGTGAAATTATTTTAAGCATTATTATATTTTTAAAACTGCATTTCATTTAGTAACTAGATCAAAGTTTCTCATATATATATAGTAAAGTAGAAATACAAGTATTGTAGGTGCATAATCACAATGAATATAGGCTGCTTCAGTCTTATTTATTTTTTTGATTACTAGGAGGTTCGGGCCTTAGGCCGTAATTCCTCTAGGATCCGGAGAAGACCGAGTGAAAGCCAAATGGAAATATCTAGTGATTTCGCGCTTGAGGAGAATCAAACTCTAAGCTAAACCAACAAGGCAATTCCTTACTCAAGTGAAAACCACTAAACCAAGACCATTTGGTTTGCTTCAGTCTTATTAGATGAAGAGTATGATGTGATAATAGGCGATTCAAGACACTATAAACCACGTCCAGATTCTACGGTGAGACACTACTATTAAGGGTTGAGTATAAAGAGAATTTGTCTTGCAACTAAAAGTGTAATCGCATAATATGAAGTAAAGAATGTCAATGGACAACTAGAAATTAAGTAGTTGGGACACAACAAATATGAAATTAAGCAGCTCGAAGTAGAAAATATTAAGTCCTTCACTGTAAAGGCCAACTTACATATGGAGTAATTAGCTAGTATGGACTCTAACAATATATTTATCTTCTTTTTCTTTTTGGAATTAGTGATTACTATATTTTTGTAATATTTTTTAATTTGTTAGTCATTTACTTTTAGAATTTATAGTTTTTTGTATAATTATTTTTCTTGATAAAGTTTTTTTCTAAGTAACTGTAATCTTTTTACTTTTACTATTTTTGTTTACTGTATAATTTCCTTTTTATTTATATTTTTTTTTTACATTTCTTAAGATCTAAAAAATTGACTTGACACTTACAAATCATGTGAGTTACTAACTTTTGAACCAATATTTATATAATAAGATAGTAGAATTATGATTTAGTGTGAATTTCAAAAATAATTTGGACTTTTCAACAGTTTTTTAAAATTTGAAAACATTATATAAAGGTGTAAATGTATAGAATACTATTGGTTATGGTTTTTTTTTTTAGTATATGAGAAGGCATATGGTATAGCTTTGCTTAGGACATATAAATATGTACTAAAGGGTTTGCATTTCGATATTCTTTAATAATCTCATATATCTTTGAAACAAAAAGGTCCAAAATTTTTTTAAGATAAATATGTATTGATGAAAGAGCAAAAATCATATATACCATGTTAGAATAAAAATAAAATAGTTTATATATCTATTATGTTATATAATCTAATATTGCACCATATACAGTAAAACCTCTATAAATTAATAATGTTGGGACCATGAAAATCTATTAATTTATAGAGGTATTAATTTATCGATAAATTATAGAGAAATATTCCTAATTTGGAAAATATTTTCAAAACAATATTTAAAAATAAGATTTAATCATGAAAATTAGTATTTTATATATTCAATTACAAATAAAATAATAATAATTATGTATTAAAAGAGACTGCTAACTATTTTTCATATAGTAAAACATTAGAAATAAAATCTAACAAAAACTAATGTGTCTATATATACATATATATATATATATATATTTTTTGAAAATTTTACCTAATTATTAATTTATAATATTTATGGGACCATATATTTACAAAGGATTTTCAAAAAATTATTATCTTATTATTTTATCGAAATATGTCTAAAATTACATTGGTCCCAACTTGGGACCGGAGAAATTTATTAATTTATAGAAATTATTAATTTATCGAGTATTAATTTATAGAGGTTTTACTGTAACACGTTATTTCACGTTACTATAAGTCTATAACATTCTCTTATTTATTACGTGATTCATATCTTTAAAATAACATTTAGCGTTTTTTTCCCCCTTTTCCCATTACAATTATGGACTAGTTATGCGTATAGAAGAAGAAAAAAAACGTTTTGGCTTTTTTAACTTATTTTTTTATGCATGGACTTGAGTCTTCGGCCATTATTTCATTGTCATATTATGTGGCACATTGGCACGTACGAATGAAATGCGCTTACGTATATATAATTTATTTTTATTAATGAACTTTTATTTTATTTTTATTAATGAACTTTTGTCTTTGACTAAAATAATCTAGAGTCTTTTAATAATACTAATGATGATTCGAAACTGTTCTTAAACGTGTTTTTCGTCTTTTGGTATATTTTGTGTTAAAACCTTAAAAACTTCTTAATCCTTAAAAACCTGAAAAGTTTCCTTTTAGGTTTAAAATCATACCAAACACTTAACAAAAAATATTATAAAACTAAATAAAGCTAAACTGGACAAGAGTACGATGTTATTAAATGTCACTTGCATGTTTTTACAATATTTTGTAATATTTTATGAAACAAAACAATATTAAACAAAAGAAATTGAAGTAAGTGTGACATTTCATTCATAAGTGCAAATGTCCCATGATATGACAATGAAATAAAGGTGAAATTAATGTTGTGTAATTCAAGTGGATCAAGCTGGAGGATAGGTAAGGTTTAGTCGTGAATAAACGCATTATGTGCAATTAAATGGTGAAAAGGACCAAAGTAAAGACTAGGATCCATTCCAAATTTTCTTTCTTTTAAGTAAAAAGTAGCCATTTTATCAAACCTTTTTCTATATATATATACAGTATATTTAAAAAGTTTGGTGTACTAAGATTTTAAGAATATTAAAATCCACTAATACCCTTAATCCAAAATCTCTAAATATAATTAAGAAATTTTAATTAAAACTAAAATTTTTCTATTATTATTATCCCTCTTTTTGTTTAATTTTGCTAATTGATTTTTTTTCACCACCTCTCTCTTTCTCTCCGCAGCGTTCTCTCATTCTCCGACGAACAAAAAGGAAATTTTGAGCTTTCTCTCAAAAACGATTTGCTTTCTCTCATTCTCCCCACCTCTCGCTTTTGAGCTTGTTCTTCCACTTCTTCTTTCTAACTGAAGCAAGTTGAGGTAATTGATTCTTTTTTTTTTTTGTTATTAACGCCTCCACTTCGGTCCACAAATTTTGGGATCCACTATTATTAAACTAATAGTTTAAAATCCAGCATAAAAACCTACGGTTATTAAAATCAGCTTGTGGATTTAATTTACGATTATTAAATCTCATGATTTTAGGTCGGATATGTGAAATTTTACACTAAATAATATAAACTTTCCTAAAATCATCATAAACATATAAGAATTTACCAAATCTCAAGCTACTTACAATATTGTTTAAATACACACCTTGCTTCTCTCTTTAATTATGCATTCAAGTCGTAAATTATACTCCAAAAAAGTAGTATATAGTACATATTTTCCCCAAAAAAAGTCTTAAATTATGATTAGTTACGAACCAAATTAATCAAAACATTAATTACAACATCAAGACTTTGCTCTCTTTCTTGTCACATTCTTTTCCTCTTAAATTCTCAAATGCACATATCATGGCAGCTGGTCTCATCTCAATGTCATGTGTTTGTCCAAAATAAATACATAAATAAATTAAAAAATATTTTTTTGAAAAAAAGTAGTTGTATTACATCATTACACGATCTATTGTGTTGTCTGATGATGTCTCAGTGTGCGTCACTAATGATTCACATATCTCTGTATCTTCTTCTTGTCTATAAAAAATTTAAAACATTTTAGATTACGCAATTGCTCTCGTCTACTTGGCATTCTTAAAAAATACAAGTCCCTCTCCATTTTCGAATTTTCATTTTTTCCTTCTTTTCTCCAGAAAATATTGACTCTCCCATGCACTTGTCGTCTGAATCCTAATCTCTCTCTCTCTTTAGATCGTGGAACCAACAAAACCCATTTCACCCTTTTCTCAAATTTGTCACCTTTTCCCAAATTTGTCACCTTTTCGCTTTGTTTTCTCCATCCTCTTCGATCTTTTTGATTTCTGTGTATAACAATGGCGGAATTGGGTTTGAGATCGGTGATTTTGGGTTTTCTCTGTTTCGCTCTAGCTTTCGCCTTAGTCTCTGCTGAGAGAAGCTTTATCAAAGAAAAAGCTCAGAGATTTGGTGATTCAGATGAAACGCGGGAAAAAGAATCAAGCTTTTTGATCAAAGCTGTGAACTTTCTTTGGGAATCTAATCAAATTGGTTACCATCATGTTTGGCCTGTAAGTATTATTATTTATTACCATTACCCTTCTTCTAACATCTCATCTTTCTTGTTATGTTCACGTTGTGATATTGTAATAATAAACAGGAGTTTGAGTTTAATTGGCAAATCGTATTGGGAACACTTGTTGGATTCTTTGGAGCTGCGTTTGGTAGTGTAGGTGGTGTAGGTGGTGGTGGTATCTTTGTACCTATGCTTAGTTTGATTATTGGGTTTGATCCTAAATCTGCTACTGCTATTTCAAAATGTAAGAAACAACATCTCTACTATGTTCTCTCATTGGTGTTTTGTGTTTAGTAGTAATGATGACATGGGTTTTTGTAGGTATGATAATGGGTGCTTCTGTGTCAACTGTGTATTACAATCTTAGATTGAGGCATCCAACACTTGATATGCCAATCATAGACTATGATCTCGCTTTACTTATCCAGCCTATGCTTATGCTTGGGATTAGTGTTGGTGTTGCTTTTAATGTCATTTTCCCAGATTGGTTGGTTACTGTTCTACTTATCATCCTCTTTCTAGGTAAAGGAGTTTTCAGATTAGTTGTGTTATGGTTGATTTAGAAAGTGGAGTCAACATTTTAATCAATGTGTGTATGTATGCAGGCACGTCAACAAAGGCGTTTATGAAAGGTTCTGAGACTTGGAACAAGGAAACTATACAGAAAAAGGTACCATCAGTCACTTTCTTGCATGACATTACATGTTTGTTGAATATAATTATCCACCTAACACCTAACTAGAGTTGTATCATTTATTACTACACTGTACAAATCTTAAAGAAGTTACATCAAACTATTTTTTCTTTATTGTGCTACAGGAAGCTGCTAAGCGTTTAGAATCAAATGGTGAGTTGAATATTTATAACCTCTGCTTTGCATTTATTGGGAAAAGCATTATTCACATAATCTGTTTTTTACATTAGGTGTCTCTGGCACTGAAGTGGAATATGTGGCTCTTCCAGCTGCCCCGAGCACGAACGCTAAGAAAGAAGTGGTATATGCTATCCTCTTTACACCTAGTGATGGTTCTGTGTTATGGATGTTATGTCACAATGCTAGTGTTGTACTACTGCAGGTAGGTATTCTTGAAAATGTATACTGGAAGGAACTGGGGCTTCTTGTTTTCGTCTGGTTTGTATTCTTGGCACTGCAGATATCCAAGGTTCAGTATATTTCTTTATCTAGCAATACGTATAAATTGAAAATACTTGTTTTATATTCAAACTTTATTGATTCTCTTTCATGTTCTACTACTGAAACAGCAAAATCTAGCTACTTGTTCAGTAGCATATTGGGTCATAAATTTGTTACAGGTACAAAACAATGTCAAAAATGTTTTTTTACAGAGAAATCCACATATACTGCTTATAGATTCTTATGTTTTCTTACCGTCATACAGATTCCGGTTGCAATTGGTGTATCAGGCTATGAGGCAGTAGCTTTGTACCAGGGTAGAAGAATCATTGCATCTAAGGGACAAGGAGACTCGAATTTCACTGTTGGCCAGCTTGTTCTTTACTGTACATTTGGCATATTGGCTGGCATAGTCGGTGGTCTACTCGGTTTAGGCGGAGGTTTCATCATGGGTCCATTGTTCTTAGAGCTGGGTGTACCACCACAGGTGTGGATTTACCAAGTTCAGTAAATTTTTATCATTACAAAACAACATTATAATCGAGAATGACTTGTTTTTGTGTGGTTTTATTTGTAGGTTTCAAGTGCCACAGCCACTTTTGCAATGACTTTCTCATCATCCATGTCTGTTGTAGAATACTATCTTCTCAAACGATTCCCCGTTCCATATGGTGAGTTCTATATCATTTTGTTCGATAAGGCCACATAATCGATTAACGTTTACATGATATCCTCAATGTTTTTTTTTTTTTTTTTGTTTATTTGCAGCTCTATACCTTGTGGGAGTGGCAACAATTGCAGCTTTGGTTGGACAGCATGTAGTCAGAAGGCTAATTGCAGCTCTTGGCCGGGCATCTCTCATCATCTTCATCCTCGCGTCCATGATTTTTACCAGTGCGATATCGCTTGGTACATTATCTCCTTCTCACTCAAACCTTTTTATTATTTGTTCTGCTCCAGTCATCTATTAGTGTTAATATTTGCTTGGTATGTACACATTTGGTAATTGTGTTAACTTTGATTATTTGTTGGCAGGTGGAGTGGGAATAGCAAACATGATAGGCAAAATCCAACGGCATGAGTACATGGGTTTCGAGAACCTTTGCAAGTACGGTGGTTGAGGTTTAAGGAGTCTGGCTCAGAGTTATGGTTCTTAGATCATCTCAGGCTTCTTCTCTCTTAAGTGATGCCAAATCTACTAAGTGTTTAACTTGTTGCCTTATAAAAAACTATGTCAAGACTCAAGACTTATGGTCTTTTAGTTGTGTGTTTTGATGTCATTTACTTAGAATTTGGAAAAATGTATTATTATTAGCATTTTTTTTTTATTGGGTTGCCTTATGGTTGAAAATGTAATTTATGGCAATATAAGGGATTTTGATCATTTTGTCAACAGTCAACAATTTTAGATGAAATTAACTTTATTCAGTATCTTTTTATCTCATTTTCATTTGAATTAAGAAATTAGTATGTCATCTTCATCTTTTTCTTATTTATATATTCCAATATAAAATAAATAATTTAATCTCGTGTATCACTGAAAATTAAATAAAAATAGATTATCTAAGCATATAATATATTGTGGTTTGAATTTTTTTTTAAAAATAATGTTAGATTATATTCAAGAAAAATAAACGTTTTTACAACTAGTGCAACTGAACTTTTAAAACACTTGAACTGGAAAACAGATCTTTTAATAATTAGATTGTGGAAGCAAACCAAAGTTGCACTCCGTTTCATAACGTCCATCTCCCATGAGTTTAATAGATGAGAAACGATTGCGCATTTTCTTGCTGATTGAACTTTAGAATTCAAAACAAAAATGAGTTAAAATATGGATCGAGTTCTTCTTACTCTTAAATCGTTTTTAGGTTTTTGCTTAGAGTGTTGCTCGTTACAATGTTAATGTCTTTAGTTTCTGCTCTTTCGTAAGGTTTATATTTCAGATAAATCACGTCTTTCTCCTGCTTTTATCTCTAGAAACTTTTATTTTGTCTATCGATTTGAGTTTTCCCTGTTTGACTATTGTATTTCGTAGGTTTGGGCATTTGACTAGCCCTGTTAATAGAGTCCATATCGATTTTATTTTTAAAAATTGTATCCGTATCCATATTATCCGTTAAATATGTTATCTAAGGATAACCGCAGATATCTATAAATATGTTAAAAAAAAAATCGAAATACCGTATATTTTAGAACAAAACATTGGATATCCATATCTAAATACCGGATATCCGGTCCAAAATAATCGGATATTCGAGTTAAAAAAATGGATATCCGTTATCATTTTTAAAAATCGCATTATCCATTTTAGTATCCGCAATATCAGTCATTTTACCATCCATTTTTTGTTCAAAAAATGGATACGGATACAAATATGAATTAATCTTAAGACTAGGCGTTTCCGGGTTTAGATTTCAGATAACTAGATTTACTTCAAAATTATGATTATTAGGATAATTAGATTTACTTCAAAAATTTTGATTTGAGATAATTAGGATAGGAAAATTCATTACGTTCCGTTTCATATCAACTTCAATTAATAAAATTTCAGTTGACAAAAAGAGTTACGTATAAAATGAAAACACATCATTCTTACAAAACGGTGAAAAAAGTCATTTTGTTATATCTACAACGGGTTAAAATATTTGGGCCGGGTACTGGATCTATAAACCGGCCCAATAACTAAACCATGACGGAGACAAACCTGAAAAACGCGGAGGTGACGAACGAAGAGGAGAGAGAGAGACCAGACTCTGGTGGTGGCGGGTAAACGAAAAAGTCTGATAGAAATGGACGACGAGAGGATTAGAGAGAGAGAAAGGCTTCAGATCGAGCAGATTCGTGAGCTTGATTTCGAGGAGTTACAAGTCGAAGAAGTTGATTACCTTCACGATTCCGATGAAGACGATGATGATGATGTTGATCTCTCTGCATTTCCCTTTTCTTCCCACTCCCAACCTTCGTGAGCAATCTCTCCTCTCACCACCTGGTTAATCTCTGTTATCGTTTTGTTACCTACTTCGTTTCATTAGCTCTTTCTAGTGACTGCTCAGTGTGTTCGTTTCTACTGTTTTGATTTCCCAGTTTTTGCATTCTTAGGGTTTAGTGATCGTTTAGGTAACGAATCTACGGAATTTGATTTTATTGGGGTGTGGGGTGTGATGTGATGAATGAATCCGCATTCTCTGACTTTTGATTTGGTGATGTTTGATTAGTGGCAACCGTGGTGATGATGAACTTATTTTCAATCCAGCTTTGTCTTCTTTACATACCTATCTTGGAGGTATGGATGGATTCTCTCGGTCTTGTGTCTTTCTATATGTTTTATACATCTGAGGTTAAGTTTTTGGTATTGTTTGACAGAGGTTGAGGATACTCCAAACAGAATTTCTTTTGTGGATGGAGGCACTGTTTTGAAGATTCCGCTTTTCTATCTTGAAGGTATTTGTATTGATGATATGGTGTGGTGATAGTTTTTTTTCTTTTAGTGGTTACATTTGTAGCTTTAGTCTAGGAATCTAGTTGTATGTTCAAGGAGATGAAGATGCTTGAATTGAACTAGCACACTATATCTCTCCTTCTTCAGATTTACAAGGAGTATCCCCTCAATTGTAGCTTTTCTAAAATCCGATTCATGTATGGTGCGAAGAGTTTTCTGTCCCCTCAGGAGTGTTTTTTTATCCAGATATGTGTGTAACAAATTCACACTGCTGCTTTGTTCAGGAGTGGTTCTATTTCCAGAGGCGACACTACCCCTTAGAATTATTCAGGCTAGTTTCTTGGCTGCTGTTGAGAGAGCTTTGAACCAGGCTAATTCTCCATCTACGATAGGTGTGGTAGGTACTTAATCTTTTGCTTTGCTTGTTTTGGGTTCGAAATATCTTGTTTCTTTTATACAAGAAAAAGTTACTAATCTTAAAATTTAAATTTATCCTGTTATCTTCAGATTCGTGTTTACAGAGAAGGTTCTCAGTTCAAATATGCCAGTGTGGGGACAACCGCAGAGGTAACCTTTCTATAATTTCTCACTGGCTTTTCTTTCTAATGATTGTTAGATGAAGTTATACCTTTCAGTTTTCTGTTTCTAAAACACTTTTTGCTTTGCCTCATCTTAAGACCTATGCGGTTTTGTATATGGAATTGTGGGATCTGATATGACTGGTGGTAGCAGTAGCATTTCTTAAGGAATGAATACATTTTAGATTTGGCATCCTGGTTGATCAATTTCTTGCGTAAAACACTGGATTTTTTATATTATTGGCAATGCCTAGGAACAGGGGTCTTGGTGTAGGAAGATGGGAAAAGTGAGAGTTGTTGTTTTATATATATACTTGGTGGGAATAATGTGTATCTTCTAATTCTCGATGTGTAACTTTCTATTCTTGGTGATAATCGCAGATACGACAGTATCGTCGACTTGGTGATGGTTCATTCAATGTTATTACTCGTGGACAACAGCGGTTCCGTTTAATGCGTCGTTGGACTGACGTCGAAGGATTTGTATGGACATTCTCTCATATATAAACATAGGCACTTCACCTCTTTTATTAATAAAAGTGGGGAATGCATCATTGTCTACTGTGTAAGAAGCTTATATTTCATGAATTCCTTCTTGCAGCCTTGCGGAGAGGTACAAATTGTTGAGGAAGATGTGCCCCTGAGGACTCCCAGGGATGCGTTTGGCAAACTGGTACCGTTAAGCAAGTTGCAAGGTCGATCACCGTTGAGTGCAATGTCGTTGTCTACACCTCTTAGAGATTTGGACACACAGTCGGTAGCAAATTCTGAAGAAAGTTTTGAATGTGCTCTTTCTCCTTCCGAAAGAAGACTTCATTATTCTTCAGTAGTTGACTCGATATATTATAACTCAGCAAGTAGTGATGATGACCTAGTAGTCAGCACATCTGATATCCAATCTAGTGGGTCTAACCCATACTACTCTAGATCCGTTGGATGTTTAGCTTCTGACCATGATGATGAAAAGGAAGATGGGCAATCGTCAATTAGCAAGACTCCTGTTTCACAAAGAAAATGTGAGAAGCAAAATAGGCTGGCAAATTTCCGGGAAAATACTGATCTAAGCCGATTCCGTATGGCCCCAAGAGCATTTTGGCCATTCTGGCTGTATAAGATGTACGACTCATATTATCTTGCTCAAAGGGCAGCTGGTAAATTTCTTGTTTGTTATGATCATTTTCTAGTAGTAGCACACTTAATTAGAGTCTACTAACGTCAAGATAATCTGCAGATCTGTGGAAGCAGATAGTTGGGGTTCCAAACATGGAGGCTTTTGTGAATAAACCAGATATTCTGTCCTTTTCCATTGCTAGTAAAATCCCTGTGTCTGAGTCAATTAGACAAGAGCTCTTAGAGCTTGATGGAGTCTCATACAGATTGCAGCGAGAAATCGAATTGCTTGAAAGTTTTGATCGTGTTCGATGTAAACACTGTCAGGTATTTGGGAGCATGGTAAATACCATTTATACTTCCTCTCCGTTGAATATTTGAGTTACTGATACGTTTGCATATTAATGCAGACTGTCATAGCAAGAAGAAAAGACATGTTGGTTATGTCTAATGAAGGTCCTCTTGGTGCGTATGTAAACCCACATGGCTATGTGCACGAGGTAATGACCTTTTACAAAGCAAATGACATAGCGCTCACAGGTAGACCTATTAAAAAGGACAGCTGGTTTCCCGGGTAAGATTTCTTTCATTAATGTTTCTCTTTTAATCACGTTTATATTTGAACTATTTGACTTACTTCCTTTATTATACTTATTGGTACCTCAGTAGTTTAGAAATAGAGCTCAATCGCTATTATACCTTTTACGTCTTAGGGAGCTACCAAGTTATATGATCAAAAACTAGCTTTGGTTCAAAAGAAGCTAATTTTTCAAAGCATTAGCATATAAATCAGCTGGTGCAAGTAAACCCTTAAGATCAATTGTTCATAGGCAAAGAGAACAATTGTACTTTATTAAGAAGCCTAATCCGTAATCTTTAAGTCTTACCATAATTCTGATTTATGTGTCTTAAATCCGCAGGTATGCATGGACAATTGCAAACTGTGCGACATGTGAAACCCAGCTGGGTTGGCTTTTCACAGCAACAAACCAAAAATTGAAGCCATCGTCTTTCTGGGCAGTTCGGGGCTCACAGGTCGCAGATGACATGCACTGAAACGGTATTAAAACCAGGTCTTACTCACCAATCTGTTTGTACTTCAATACCAAATCAGTAGTGCCATAGATACCCTGAATATTACAAGGTAGCTTGTGAAAGTAAAAGCCGACTACGAGTATAGAATTCTAAAGCTGTAACAAAACAGCTAAAGGATTTAGATATTTTCATCAATATACATAACATTATATATATGTACTCGCATGCATAATAATAATGTGGTAGCGTTAGGCTTACGAGTATAATATTACAAGGTGTGTTCTTAATATGGTAATATCCGTTCAACTTACACACTCACGTTATTCATTGCTGAACGTTTCAGTTTTGTATGCTATTTTTCTTAAGGAAATAATGGTCAAGGGTGACTTGGCTTACAACGGGATGAATCCAACATAGACTTTTGTTATATATCTATAAGCAACGTGGTTGTATTGTCACTGACGATTGGGACTTTTAAATATAGGAAGACGTAGAATGTTACCACTGAGGATTCACTTACAATTTTGAAGATTGCGACCTGTGCGGCAAATGATAATTAGTTTGTACACAGAAATATATATAGTTAACTGGTTACGTTTATAGACCAAGCTTTAGATAATATAAGACTACAGATCAAGTTTTTGAGTTATATTTCCTGAAATCACTCGGCTTAAGTGAGAAGGCAAGTGAAAAAATGATGTGTACTTCACTAAACTGCCGAACCAGAGGAATATAAAAAACATAACTAGGACAATTGAAACAAAACAAAGGCAGAAATCAGAAATACAAGTGAGGCTTGACTAGTTGATGACAGTGAACTTGTTTTGCATACACTGTTATTAACAAACAATTGGATCACTGTTGTACATTTCATCTTCATGCTTCAAAGTACTTTGAAGTTTGAACCATGAGAAAACGTAACTATCATATCAGATACAAAGCAGCATACACAGCAGTACCTCATATTCTGCAGTTACCTAAAGATTCAGTTGGCCTAATGGTGAAGAACTGCTGCAATAAAGCAATTGAAAGGTTAAGGATAAATAACCCATACGATACGACATCTTAGAACAGCTGAAGCGTGTGGCTCTCAGAAAGCAAATCGTTACATTTTCAGAGGAGTTGCCCTACATCATCCCATTTTCAGCTGTAGAGAAGCTAAATGATGACGATCAAGATATGTTTCAATCTTGAACCCCAAACAAAAGAGTCAAAGATCTCTTTTATGGTTCAACTCCTTGGTTCCTACATGATCCACTGACAAAACAACAAGACAAAACTCTCAAGACAGGTTTATAATACATATCAAAAACATCCATTTCCTTCTTCATTACAGCCACTGCCACTTCAGATTAACATTATATGAACATTTATAACGCCAGACTACCTTTTTTTATCTAACATAATTCAAACTTATTTCCTTAAACAGGTCATCCAAGTTCAAAAAACAGGACAATTTTGCATTGCAGTTGATACACTTCATTACAGCACTAGTGAAGAAGAGTTTGGCGTCCATCTTTCATTCAAACTTCCCTAAAAAGATTCCCCTAAGCCACAGCATCACTGATCACAACAGATGTTCTTTCACACTGTGCGGATGTATGGTAAAGCTAAACTGAGTTGCATCCTACAGAAATTAGAACTTCAAGAAACAGTTCGACCATAACAAATAGATGCTATGTAGAGATTCTTTGCCCATTTTTCCTGCAGAAAAAACGACTAGAAGTTACACCCCATGAAGTTCGAAAATCAGATAACAAAGGACAAGGAAATAAGAGACCAACAAACAAACCTTGACATGACTACTAGGAAAAGCTGAGGTTCTAAGAGTCTCTTGTGTCTCATCGGTAAGCTTCCTTCTAGGCATACTAAGAACAAAGGCAGCCTGATCCCAAGTTGCAGCAACTGATGTAATTCGGTAGCCATTCTCCCATCGACGATGTATACCTTCGCTAGGGTATAGAAAATCGAGTTCTACAACCTGAAACACAGAACAATCCTCATATTATCGTGATGCAGTTCCAAGTGATGCATGCTTTTATGCAAGGCAAGACCCAAAACAAATAAATTAACTTCACAAGACCTGGTCAGAAAAAGAAGCTCCACGAGACATTACAATCCCCCATTTGCTTCCAGCAGTTGCCATAGATGTAACATAAAATCCTTCCCTCCACTTTTTATTTATCCACTTGAAGGGAAAAGAATCGCTGACTTTGTAGGATTGCTGTAAATACTGGGTCCCTGAATACAAAATATGAAAGCTGTGAAAAGGAGATAAAACGGAAACAGCTCTTACACCCGCATTCAAAAAGAATAAAACAACATTACCCTTCGACATAACCACAAATGAGCTCCCGTTATTTGCTCCTGCTACTGCTGTAATATAGTAATTCTTTTCCCACTGTTCCATAATCCATTCCTAGAAGGGATGCACCAAATCGAAACACAACCAAGTTGGAAAACATAATAAATGGAAGTGACAGCAGCAGTGCAGACATGACAAATTTGGAAAGATTACCGGAGAATATTGATTAAGTTACCTTGTGGAAAAAGCTCAGTGATAGCTGGTAAACTTGATCCGTAAAGCCAGTTCCCGCATCCATGATCAAGGCCCATAGATTCGCGCAAGACGCTACACTGCTGATAAATAAACCATCCTCATTTCCTTTTTCAATGTGTTGTACAAGCCTTGTATCAGTGACATTATAATGATATCTGCACAAACATAAAAGACATGTCAGCAGCATGTTCATCAACGCATGTCCCAAGAACTCACAAGTAAGATCCAAGATGGCACCGTTGTTTCATTGGTCTGTGTGCACTGTAAATGCTGATCCATTGTGTTGCTGGCATTCCCAATCTGACCTTCTTTGTTGGCTGTTCGTCCTCCTCGTCCATTGTCAGTCTCCCCCTCTTTTGACCCACTTGATGTATGAGCTTTACACCGAACAAACACAAAAAAGCTTTAGGCATTCTAGACTGGACTTAAAATAACAGACCCACGGTAACATGTCATAAAAAAGATCACTGAATCACACCTTCTGTGCACCTTCAGTATTTATTGGCCTAATGTCTGGGTTTGGACCAACTATTCCATCGAAAAGGGAGATATATTTAGCATAGTCAGGGTCCTCATCAAACTTCAAATTGACAACATACTCAACAAACTGACGAAAAGGTTGGGGGCAGAAGCAGCAAAGAGTTTCTGGGGAAGTAGCCATCTTCTTCTTGCAAACAAGGAAACCTTTGTTCTCTCCCTAAAAAAAAGGTTAATGATTGGCAAAAAACAATGCAAAAAAAAAAATACATTTAACTTTTAGATCCTCCAACCTGGTACCCTTGCCATGGAAGTCGGCCTCGAAGAAGGAAAACAAGAGTGTAAGCAAGAGATTCCAGGTCATCCCTCCGACTACAAGTTCTGCCAAGATGAGCATGTACACTAGCATAGCGTACTGTTCCTCTGAGAATGCAAAAAACCCAAAACATTAATAAGCAACAACGTACATAAGATTGACGTCCCTGATACGAATCAATCTCACAAGTTTTATGCCTAACTGAATAAACTTACCTAAAAACATCAGGACGCTGGTCATATTCAACATGTAGTCCAGTTGCAGTATCACGCCATTTGGTTGCTGCAAGATCAAAAATTGGATAAGCAACAAAAAGAAAGCAAAATATGCTTGCTCTTACTACAAAATACAGTATACCTAAACCGAGGTCGACAAGGAAAAGTTTTTTCTCTTCTGGAGTCCCGGGAGGCCCAAGCAGAAAATTCTCTGGTTTTACATCGCCATGCACATATCTGCCAGAAAAATGAGAATATTAGAAAATTTTAAGTTATTTAAAGCAAGTGAGTTGTAGTAGGCAGTAGCGTCAGTAAGAATATAAGAAAATTACCCCCTCGAATGCATTTTTTCTAATATGGATATTGCCTCAATCGCAATGCATGCAACCATCTCTGTTGACATCCTGCATCGTATAAGACAAACAAAGCATATGGTCAGCACCAATACAAAATGGCTCATCTCAGAAACGTATCTGTTCACCAATGGTTTAAATATCAAAATCTTCAGATGCTACAAAATAATGCTAAGATTTCTCAGGTGGAATGCTCACGCTTGACTGGTACTATTCCAAACATCCCATAAGCTAGGCCCAAGAATATCCATAACCTGTATGAAAGATTAAAGCTGATATTAGTAATACCGCAAGTAGCTAAGAATAGAAAACGCTTTTGCCCAAACATAGCTAATTTCAACGTACCATCACATAAAAATCACCTTGCCGACCTTTAAAATGAACTCGTGGCACACCATGACTGCCACCAAGAGCACTGGACAAACAGATAACAAAGCATAAATTAGCCATCTCATCCTTTTACAAACCAACTATTTGGACAAGCAGAATAGGAATCCTAGAGCCAAACACAAGAAACCATAGCGCTCACTTGTAAACTTGCCACTCACAAGGTGGCCCATAGTTACACCCTTTGCTGGTTCTATGCTCAAACTTCAAAGCCACCTGCAAAAGTGGACACATCACAATTAAATATAGCCCACACGAAATCAAAAGTAAATTTGCAAACACAAACAGCATACCTCTATAGCTCCCGGGCCATATCTAGCACTAGGAGTGGCTGTACCCATCTTTCGACCAACATAAACTTGTCCAAAACCCCCTTTGCCTAGCTTCCTATCTAACTTGTACATAGGTGAACCACCAACTTGAACCTGTAAAACCAAAAATTCCAAAATCAAATAATCTTAAAGCAGTAAAAATTCAAACTTTTGCGAGAATCAGCCATGCCCAAGTTTCATATCTTCTCCTAGTCATGGAGACCACAATGCAAGAGACAATAATCCAACCTCGTAGGAAGCTAAATTGAGTAAAAACAACAAAACCCAACAATAAAGGTGACACCTTTTCAGGAAGAGGAGGAGCATTTCCTTCATCATCAGGCACAGGAGCTGCTTGACCGCCACTGTCGTGTTCATCCATCTTCTTCTCTTCTCTCGAAACCCTAACTTGTTCTTCCTCTTTAACTGCAGTATCCACCAAAGGTGTCGTCTTCTCTACCGTTACGATCGCTTCCTTCGCCAACACTTTCTTCTGCGGCCGCCTCGGGTTTCTCCTAACTGGTGATTGTGTCAAAGCAATTGGGTTCTGGTTCGGGTTCTTCTTAGCCCGATCTCTGCGTGCGTGGCTACGCAGCTCAGGCATCTACGCTTGGTGGTCGACGTCCATGGAACGATCCAACTCACTTAGAAAGAAAGAAGCTTTCCAGAACCGTCCGAGGGGTAGGTAAATTCGAAGCGAAGATAACGAAGAGATGAAGAAGAAGAAACAGAGAGCTTCAAATGCAAATGGGTTGAGAGATTTGGGGATTCTTTGAGACTTGGCAATCGAATCTAAAGAGGACTCTGATCTTTTTCACCTTCTAGTGTTTTCTTTATTTATGGGTCTTGTTTTTTTTTGGTTTCTTCACAGTTTCAATCTGATGGGTTTTTATTTTAGAAGTAAAGAAGAATCTAATGGGGTTTTATTGTTTTTATTTTCTTTCATCTACACAAAAATTAATGTTGATTTATCAAATCTGCTATACATAATTAACCAAATCTGAGTGAATTGAAAGAGGTTTTGTTCGAAAGTTTCTCTTTTCTAGATGCTTCAGAAAATGACGACGGAAATGTTGGCCGGCGATTTACAAACTAAATCGCTGGTGTAAATCGGCGGTTAAAAGAGGAAATGAACTATCATTGTTCTTTTTTTTCTTTTTGATCTTGAAAAGTAGAAATATTAGATTTTTTTCAAAACTTGGATGAGTAGACAAGTTACTTTTTTCACCATAATTCGACTTATCGATGATGCAATGTTTTTCAGCGATGGCGGAAATGTAGACGGAGTTAGCTCTGCTTGAAGAAATTTAGTTGTAAAACACTTCAATGATGAATAGTGATTTTTTCTTCTGATGAATCGTGGTTATGAACTACTTTTTAAGAAGAATTAATGAAACTCAAAAATAAAATTTAGAATTTGCAAAGCGGTCGGAGAAAATATGTAAATGTTAAACAAATTAAGAATGGGTCGCAATATTTAGAGAAAGAGAGGTTGTTGAGAAAGATAAATTCAAAAGAGAGGCGACGAGAGGAATAAACAATGTTGTTTGATTTTAATGTTTAAAACACATTGTTTCTCTAAATGACTTGACGTTTCCTTTACTATGACTTGACATTTTTATTAAATGATACTCTCTCCGTTTCACAAAGAATGTCGTTTTAAGGTTTTAATTTTGTTTCACAAAGAGTGTCGTTTTGTATTTCCAATGCAATTTTAATGACTTAATCTTTTTTATCCCTATTATTTCAGTTTATTAATTAGAGAGAGGGTATTATGTAGTGTATTAATAAATATTAAAAATAAAATTTGTTTACTATTTATAATTTGTGTGTTAAATGCTAGAATGACACTCTACGGAGTATTTTTTTCTTTTACAAATTACCTAAGGCAGTTTGTTTTTCTCCTTTACTACATCTTTTTCTTTTGTTTGAAGGCAGTTTTAGTTATTCTCCTCTTTGAAAAACATTTTCCTTATGTTTTATGATTCATGACTTTTATCCTAATTTTTATATAAGTCAAAGGTTAGTTAGTAATATTATCCAATTTTTATAGGGTGAGTTGGTATTATAGTACATTTTCATAAACTAATTAGGAATATAGTACAAATATTATTTATAATTTGTGAAATGAGTGTAAAACACTGTGCGTGAGATAAGAAGAGTATAGAAAATGAGGTGGGGTAAGGCAGAATATGGGTAAAGACAAAAATGGGTTCCCTCATCTCCCTCTCTCCAACTCTCGTCACTCTCAATTAGTTTTATGTAGAAAAGAAAAATAATAAATTTTTTACTTAATTATTTATTTTATCTTTTTTTATTACACACCCCTTCAGTTTATTAATTAAGTTATTTGTCAATGTAATTTTCTTTTCTAATTTTTTTCACATGCAAAAATATCTATGTTTTTTTCTCAATAGTTTGATATGCATTTTGTTAAATAATTTTAAAAATTGTATAATAGTCTAAATATATATAATTATATATGTACATACATTCTTATGTACATATATATATATGTACAATTTAAGCTATATATATACAATTGTTTATGTTTAATAGTTTCAAATACATTGCATGCATATTTTATGCGTACAATTTATTACACAGATGTTTATTGCTCGAAGTTTTAGTTTGATACAACTGTACACAAAAATATATGTACATTTGTATATCACTATGCATAAAGATGTCTGTACAGATATAAATCATTGTACAGAGGAAATCTATACAAATTAATATATGTACAAAAATAAAACTCTAAAATGACACATTTTGTGAAACGGGGGAGTATACATTTCATTCTCTATCTATACAACAGTGTTGTACGTGATGGTTTTGTACATTAATTGTAGCGTAAGCAGTGACTTCGAAGGCTGTGATTATGTACAATGGTTGGAATATACATGATTATGATGTTGAAATATACATGATTATGGTGTTGGAATATACTTGATTATGGTGTACAGTAGTTCTTCTGTACAGTAGTTCTGATGTACAGTAGTTTTGATGTACGGGTGAAAATTTGTATATAACATATATCTACAGTTATGAGATATATAGATTAAATTGTGTGTATTACTCTATAATTGTACATTTAATAAGTTGTCTGAATGTACACTTAATAAGTTGTACGAATTACATATGTACATATAATAAGTTGTACATATTACATATGTACATTTAATAATACATTTGTACATTTATTAAGTTGTACATTTATTAAGTTGTACAGATCTAAAATCTGAAAAAAAATTATTTGACATCATCAAATAAAATCATCTAGCAAAATGCATATCAAATAATAGAGAAAAACATAGGTTTTTATATATCTGACTTTTTTTTAAAAAAAAATATTATTTTTATTGAATAGTGTTATAGCTTTTAGATTGAAGGTGGATAAAATAAAAAGAAAAACATAAAAGAAAAAAGGAAAAAGAAAAAAAATGTGAGCGTAAAAAAAAATGAGAAAGAGTGGCAAGTGTTGTAAATATCAATTGTTTCAGAGGATGGTAAAGTCTTACAAATAGTGGTAAATAGTATAAAGTGATTGTTTTTCTAATTATAAATAGTAAATGTATCACTTCTCTAATTAAGTTTCATAAATGTACTAAACTTCCTATTATCTCATTTTTATTTGGGGGAAAAGAAATCAAGAGGTCTTAAGGATATCTTGGACAAGTTAACCTTTCACCTTTGATTTGTAAATAACAATCTCTTTTTATGTTAAAACATCTCATGATAAATGTGACACTTTCTTTAAAGTTACATATTATATATATGATAATGTTTCAAGTGAGTGTATCAGTTTCAAAAAAAAAAAAAATACCTTAAAAGCATATTAGGTATCTTGGTGAACAGAGACATATATAGCAACACTAAAACAACTACAAAGGTGATTCTCACATTTTTGCTCATGTCATTGATCATCAACTTCATCAAAAGTAAGTAAGTTTCTTTTAAATACATTTTTGTGTCTGATTTTCTTTCCCAAAAGGTATATTTTTATTAAAATATTACGTTTTGAGAGACTATAAGGAACATGTTCTACCAAAATCTCAAGATCATTTGGAGTTGGATATGCTCATTTAAATATTTGAGTAGGTTTTGTTCGTGAAACATGTTAGGTGTTTACTTCAATGTCCAAAATTAATTAGCAAAAACAAGTCCAAAATTATTAGCACAAGTTCTTCATATGGATCGGATGGAAAAGAATTTGGCAGAAAAATATTTGGACGACAAAAGAAAATTACTAAAAGAGTTCATCGTACCATTTTTAGGTCACATTTTGTCGGTATAGACATACCATGGTTACCATATTTCTTTGCACAGTCCAATGGGACTTATGGGAATAATCTTTAGGAAGCATAATTACCTTTTATTGACATAGTTACATAATTATAGGACATCCAGAATCATGTTTCCATGGGTTTTGATAATTAACTAATTAGAAATTGTGGAGAATGAGCAAGTAGGGTAGTGGTTCTCACGCCAATGAGAAGAGAGAACCAACCCAAGCTGACAGAGATGAGATCTCATCCACCCTTGGATCACCTAGAAACCTAAGAGAATTAAGAACAAGGCCACCAGAACAAGCAAGATCTAGGTTGAGAGAGCTTAAGAGAGAGAAGAGAGAGTTTGCTACAGGAACAATTGTCCTACAAAAATAATTTTAATTTCCTCTCTGAATATTCTAATAGTGCTACTCCAAGGATTTGTCTTTAATATGCATAAGTAAGTCATTCATGTGTCTACTTTGTTTTCTTTCTTATTTTTGCTTCTTTCTTTGTGACCTTTGTATGTAACCAACCTCGACTTAACAAGGGGAACAATAAGTGTGACGGCCCCATGTCCACAACTAAAGAGATCCCAGTAACCAACTAAAGTATAATTTCTTCACTGTTTCTGTTTTCCTCGTCTGCATAACCAATCTCATCACAGTCTTCATCACCCGCTACTGCACAATCATCCCCACTAACAGCCTCACGATCTTCTTCAATATCTTGACCTTTCTTCCTTTTTTGATATTCCTTTTCTCTTTGGGTTGACCAACCACCTTAGTCGCTGCTTCGGGTGGATTTGAAACCGGCGAGGTCTCTGATGGAATGCGAACCACCTCACTGTCTGCTATTGGTGCATTTTCCACCGGCTCACTCTCTGTTGGGTTGTTTTTCTCAGCCTCTGTTTCTGTCTCCATTGCCTGTCTTGTCTCTGTCTCCATTGCCTGTCCTGTCTCTGTCTCCATTGCCTCTACTGTCTCTGTCGTCTGAACAATCTTTACGGTCTCATCTCCATTGACGTCTCCTTCGATATTAACCATCTCATCTCCATTGACGTCTCTTTCGTTTGCCTCCTTTGACGAACTTAATCTTGCAAACCTACGAGTCGGAAGCTTCCGTCTTCCTCCACGGGTTCGTGCCATCGCAATTTCAGAAGAGATTTGAGAGAATTCGATTTTTCTTTTCTAGGGTTTCGATTGTTGAAAGCAAAAATCGATTTGGGGATTATGTCTGTTAAGCTTGTTCGTCTCTCCTAAACATTGTGTTTAAGCACAGACAGAAACAACTAACAGACACTTAATCTCGTTCTTAAGCTCGTCACAGAGACTTAAACCCAAGAACAAATTGGCCCGGTCAACATAGTTTTGGCATTTTAGAGTAAAGTTAACAGAAAGTTGTTGATTAAAATGGCATCATCAAAGTTCGCGAATTTTTCGTCGTAAATTTAAAAGTTCGCGAATTATTTGACATTTTCCCAATTTTTTAATTCTTATTTATGTGTAATTTTTTTTTCTTTTTCTAAGACTAACGTTTAAAAACAAATTGTAACTTAAGGGCCCATATAAAAACGAAAAGGAGTATCTAATTGACTTAAAGGGCCATATTGACTTAAGATTGCATTATGACGGGACATAAATCTGAATGTTTTAAAAGAAAAAAAAAACAAGATACATTGTTTGTTCAATCACTAAGAGGTTCGTTAGATAGATTTGTGACAAGAACAAGTGCTAATGAGAATGAAATTTCAGAACCTGATGGTATAAATAATGTTTCTCAATCAAATAATAGTTCCGTTGATGACACTAGTCACTTGTGTGAGCAGCATGATACTGTGGCTAATGCATCTAATGTTGAAAGTTTGAATGTATGTGAAAACCCAAGTTCTTGTGTTAATATTTTTGATCCTCATATTTGGGAGAACCTTGATAATAAAATGAGAGATGTGTTATTTGCTGATTGCTTTCTTTGTGTAAACGATTTTGTTTTATAAGTACAAAAGGTGTTCTGTTTTTATATTTAGCCCCGGGACCAATCAAATGCTTAAGCCGGCGCTGTATGTGAACTCGGCCTAAGATTTCTAGTACTCCTAATAAAGAGTGATTAGGAGAATTTTTCACGCATCTTCTTTCTCGGCTGGTTTAAGTTTGCGAAAACAATGTTTTAGTGAAATGTTATTTCATCCACAAAACACTATCGAAGAGATCTTAGGCCACCTCCAATGGTAAGCATCCATAATGAATGCTTACCAATATTTTTATAAAAAAATTGTGATAATTTGTAGTTTAAAGTGCTTGTGATTTGCTTAAAACCCCAATTTAAGCAACAATACTTAAGATTTTTAGATTGTTTTTGATTATATTCATTATATATAAGAATAAACAACCTATTAGGCACCCATTAAACACCTCCATTGGAGATGCTCTTAGTTCCTTTCACTTCTCCTCGTCCCATGATAAGGTTTCTTTTGATGTGCTTAAATGAGCAATGTGTATTGGTTGACATATGAGGACTCTCTCAACTATAGAAACATATAAAGATTCCTACAAGTTAGATCTCTAGCTGCCTTCGACATGTTCCCCTCTTGTAGATGTAAGATGTGGATAGTTTGGATCAAACACTTTGAGAATTTTAGTTGCTTCCTTTAGTTCATTTATTGGGCTTCTCGAGGTCCTTAGTGAGAGTATTTAACGAGGTTTGGTCGACGATATCCTCCTTCGCATAATGACTCAATACTCTTCTACCTAAATACATAAACTATTTGACAAAAAAAATTGGTTAAGCCATTATATTATTTGGTGGTTTTTAAAAATGCCAAAGAGCAACTGCTAGAGAGTAGATATAATAGCATCAATGAAGGAATCATCATGGCCATTTTTGGTTAAGCCATTATATATGGTAGTCTATAATGTGCATCAATGTTAGGTGTTAAATTGTGATTAGTCTATTCTTAATAACTTAAGTCTATTCTTAATAAATGTTACATACTTTGAATACTGTACTCTTCTTTTCCAAGATATATATATTTTTTTTCATTTTTTCCTATATTATTATATTTTAATATTAAAAAATTTCTATTAAATTCCATATATAAATTGAAATATCTTTCAATTCCTATTTTAAATAGATTTATAATATCTGCAATTTAAAAGGGTTTTAGACTTATATGATTGATTAAGAAATAAATCACAAAAATTCAACACTGCCTTTTTAATTTGTTTACTAAATAAATTTGTAGTTCTTCTTCTATATTTCACAAACTTTTTTAAAAACTGCCAAAAACCATTAACACTTCTCACACACACACACAAAAAAAACAATACAAAAAAAAAGCTCTTTAAAAAACAAGTGTCTCTATTACCACCACGTACGTCCACTATCAATTTCCCAAGAAGTGATAATAATAGAACTTGGTCTACCTAAAATCATCGATATCATCATAACGTTTAAGAGTTTGGTAAGGTAATTAAATTTCATTCTCCAAATTGCTAATACATATTTCTACTTATGAGATTCTTACATAAATTGTCATAAAAGTAACACTATCTTATTTTCATTATTTCATATATGCATCAAGATCATCTTTCTTGTGACATGGAAGAAGCTTCAAGGGCAGAGAAATGGCAAGCCAAAGTATCAGTTACTCTCACAAAGGCAAAAGCTGACCAAATCTGGCTTCTCTTCACTGACTTCTTCAATCTCCACAAGTGGCTTCCGACGTTAGGCACGTGTCACGGCGTCCACGGCAACAACGGTGAACCCGGCTGCATAAGATTCTGCTCTGGCTCCTCCATAAGATCCAGTGACCTTGTGTCCGCGGCCGGATGGTCGAAGGAGAAGCTTGTGGCCGTTGATCCTGTGGAGCGTGTGATGAGATATGAGATAGTGGAGAGTAACATTGGATTTGAGTCATACGTTTCGACGGTGAAGATATCGCCACGTGGTAAAGTTGGAGACGTCGATGGTTGTGTTGTTGATTGGAGTTTCACCGTTGATCCTGTGAGAGGAATGTCTCTAGATGGTTTGGTGAACAAGTATGAGAAAGCACTTGGGGTAATCACCAAGAACATGGAGGAGAGTCTTCTTTGAATAGTCGTTCATAAGAGTTAATAGCAAATATGTTTTTAGCAAATAAGATTGTGTTGAATTTTTAACAAAACCCATATAATTTGGGGTTAAATTAAAAAAATATATGGCACATGTATGAGTTCAGTAACCAAAGAGTAGGTGCTCAATTTTGGTTAAACCATTATATGGTGGTCTATAATGTGCATCAATGTAAGGTGTTTAATTGTGATTAGTCTATTCCTAATAACTTTAGTTTATTCGGAAATCATCAATTTTTTTAAATGTTACATACTTTAAATACTTTTCTTTTCCTATATTAAAAAATATACTATTCTTTTCTTTTCCTATATTAAAAACCATAAACTAAAATATTTTTCTATAAAAATTTCTCTTATTTTAAATCGATTTACAATTTCGGCAATTTGAAAGCTTTTTAGAGATTAGAGAAGATAATTGCTTAAGAAATAGTCACAAAAAATTTAACCATTGCCATTTTTATTTATTTATACTATTAAAGGAGAAATACTCATTACAAACTAAGCAAATTTTTTTTTCATATTTACAATGAATTAAATGCCACTAATATAGAGGGTGTATCCAAAAAAAAGTTAAGACTGCAAAATATGTTACACTTGGATCTTGGTCCTATCATTCTATCAATAAGGATCTTGAATAAGATATTCGGATCGGATGTAATGAGAGATGGATTCATTGGCTCACATAGTTTCTATGAAAAAAAAAATCAACTTTAAAAATATAAAATTACATTAAAAAAATAATACCTAACCAATATTCATGGAAATTATTAATTTGTACCATAAAAATGGCATATTAAATTTGAAATTTTATATATGTAATATGTTTTGTATTTTTCTAATATATCTCTACCTAATTTAAACTAATATATTTCAAACAATTTTTATTCTTCTCTCACCTTTATTTGATCTTATTTTTTATATTGCTGTATATTATTATACAAAACATATTTCTAATAAATAAAAATTATTTTTTCTCTCATATGTTGCAGTTTGATTTTTTCAGAATAGACATACTGTATATTACTCAATTTGATAAAGAAGAAATATCTATGTACAACGTCCCACATCATATATAAAATTTAAGACAATAGTGCATAATCAATATGAAAATGATTAGATTACACAATTCATACAAGGTTTTATGTCGATTTAGTTTTATAAATAAGGAGTAGAGTTTAAATTACACAATTTATAGAAGGTTATTTATGTGTTACAATTATGAGAATTAAGATATAGATGGTACAATTAAACGAGATTATGGGTTTAACAAAATAAATGTGTTTATTAAATGTTTTTACTTTTTTTTAATATGTTATGATTGTTTAATTTTAAATTTACATTTAAATATAATACGTCATAGTGCAATCTCATTGGCTAAAATAAGAGGGGTGAATAAAAGGGAACTAAAAAGAGACATTGTTAACTTAAAATAAAGATAAAAAAGTCAATTTAATTTGTAGTATAATAATTTCTAAAATACTTTTTTCAAATATGTAATTTTGCATACTTTCATATTTAATAAAAACAAATTCTTAATACTTATCTCAACGACACTATAACTCATTTTTTTTGGATTGATGTTAATTTGTAAAAACATTTACCATAAAATTTTGTAATAATTAATTAAGTTTAAGAAATAAAATAGATTGCAAAGTAAAAAAATATGCAAGAATAGTTTTTAAAAAAGCTGGAAGTTAGGAAATAACATTTTTTAGGATAGTGGTATAATCATGTTTAGGGTATAATATCTAAATTAAGTTTTCTAAACAATTTGGTAATAGTAATATTATGAAAAATGGTGAATAGCTCACAATTTTTTTGGTGATTGATAATTTAACATTACTAGATTTTTATAATGAATTTTTAATAACAATTTTTGAATATGTATTATACATAAATAATTTTGTTCAAGAAAAAACAATTTACTAACTTAAAAATTTATCTTTTTCTGAATACTTTGGCTATAACATTTTTACAATAAAATTTTGATTTTAATTTTATTTTGAAAATAAATAACCCGTCTATTAGACGGGCCCTAATCTATATTAGAAAATATGATATTCAATTAATATTGATTAATTTTTTATTTTAATGTTATGATTATCCAAATTTTAACACATGCAATATATTTAGTTCATACGTGAAACATAAATTTTAGTTCATACGTGAAACATAAATTTTAATCCGCGTTTTTCGTGGGCTCTTATCTAGTTTACTATAAAGTAATTCTTTTAACAAATCGAAAAATAGACACTTTTAAAAGTTCAAAAATGAAAAATTCATAAGATTTTAGCAAAAATGATACATTCTTTAAAGTTGGTCATTCTCCTTAAAAAAAAAACTGCCAAAAAAACAAGTTTCTCTGTTACCACGGTCCACGCTAATTGTCATTTTCCAATAATAATAGAACGCATTATAAGAGTTTACTATCTTGTTTTCATATATCTTCTTTCTTGTGACATGGAAGAAGCTTCAAGGGCAGAGCAATGGCAAGGCAAAGTCTCAGTTACCCTCTTAAAGGCAAAGGCTGACCAAATCTGGCCTCTCTTCACTGACTTCTTCAATCTCAACAAGTGGCTTCCGACGATACGTACGTGTTACGGCATCTACGGTGAACCCGGCTGCATCAGATTCTGCTCCGGCTCCGGCTCCGGATGGTCAAAGGAGAAGCTCGTGGCTGTTGATCCTGTGGAGCGTGTGATGAGGTATGAGATAGTAGAGAGTAACATTGGATTCGAGTCATACGTCTCGACGGTGAAGGTATCGCCACGTGGTGAAGTTGGAGACGTTGATGGTTGTGTGGTTGAGTGGAGTTTCACTGTTGATCCGGTGAGAGGAATGTCTTTAGATGGTTTAGTTAAGTCGTATGAGGAAGCACTTGGGGTAATCACCAAGAACATGGAGGAGAGTCTCTTTTGAAAAGTTGTTGATAAGAGTTGATAGCGAATATGTTTTTAGCAAATAAGATTGTGTTGAATTTGTAACAAAACCCATATAATTTGGGGCTTAAAAAATATAAAATGTGGCACATGTATGAGCAAAAGAGTTAGAAAAAACTGTCTTTCTATCACACAATGTCACACTCTCTATTTCACTTCAATCTATGGGCTTAAATCGCCTATCAGCCACCCAATATATAAGCACAGCCATGGCGATAAACTCTCAAACATCTTTTTCTCACAAAAACTTAATGTTGTTGCTACTATATATATATATGTTATACAACTGACAACACTACCTAAGATGTCATTTCATGTTTTGATGATGAATACAAAGTATACAAACTAAACTCTCACTTGTGTCTAATATGTATGTTTGTTTTGGTATATTCCTCTTATTGATGAAATTTAATCTGTCAAAATGGGATGAGAAACTTAACTTTATATGTAGTTAACAGACTTTGAGTTTGCAAAGGAGGCAAAATTAGTGTTAGAAGTCCCATCTTGTCCGAACAAACCGAACAATACATCGATTCTCACCTAACATTCGGATTTCCATAAGCTTATATCGATTCTTATCGATAAACTCCGACGATAAAGGTAAGTACATAACTACTTCTACTATAAAATATTTTTGAGTGCCAATCAACATATTTTGGAAAGGTTACGTTGATGCTTATGGGGTTTAAGTAACTTTTAAAGATGACATCAACATCTAAGAAATTATGATTAGCTATTTGAGGTCAACTTTTTTTTGATTTGATAAGATTTGTATGGTCTTAGTATTAAGTTATAACCTTAAGGACCATTATATGGACATGGATCTTTAGTTCTAAAGAAAGATGTGGATGCATGAATATTGCAGATAAAGTAGACTTAGATTGACATATAAGTTTTATAAACATATTAATTTAGTACCCGTCCATATTTGTTCAAAATAAAATTAAAATTAGAACTTTATTATAACTATCCAAAGCTTTCTTTAAAAAGATAAGCGAAAACTTTTAATTTGGAAAGAGACTATTTTTGGTCTAAAGAATTTGATATAGGTATATATATACTTAAAATTCGTTATTAAACGTTAATTATAAAAATCTTGTAGTGTTAAATTTGTAACAACACATCCCGGTGGGAACCCCTGCCACATGGCACACCCCGCCGAATGGCAGCTACAAGCGCTGCAGCGCATTGACCCTAACCTCTCTCCTGTGGGCCCAAACTGCGCAGCCCACTTGCTCGTATCCTCCTGGCCCACCAGGTAAGTTATTGGTGCGTCTGGCGTTCCTGGAACCCAGGTCCTCACCCTTTAACAACCTTCCCACCGTGGAAGTTGTCACCAATTGATCTGCAGGAGGCTGCGAGCAAGTGGGCTGCGCAGTTTGGGCCCACATGAGAGAGGTTAGAGTCGGTGCGCTGCAGCGCTTGTAGCTGCCATGTGGCAGGGTGTGCCATGTGGCAGAGATTCGCACCGGGATGGGTTGTTACAATTAAAAGTCGGCCAGGTAGGTTATTGGTGCGCCTGGCGTTCCTCAAACTCAGGTCCTCACCCTTTAACAACATTTCCACCGTGGAAGTAGTCACCAATTGAACTACTTTTTCAGCTCAGCCATCTCTGCTGGAGCCATCCGGTACGGAGCCTTAGACAACGGCGTTGTCCCGGGCTCCAACTCAATCGTGAAGAGATCAGACCGGGATTCGAAGTTCACTTCGGCGTTCTGGAAGGCTTTCCAGAAGGAGATGGGTACTAAGGTGCATTTGAGCACGGCTTACCATCCTCAGACAGACGGGCAGTCTGAGCGGACCATTCAGACACTTGAAGATCTATTGAGGATGTGTGTGTTGAACTGGGGTGGTCAGTGGGCAGATCACTTGAGCTTGGTGGAGTTTGCTTATAACAATAGCTATCAGGCGAGTATTGGGATTGTTCCTTATGAGACGTTGTATGGGAGGCCATGTCGGACACCTATATGCTGGACTCAAGTGGGAGAGAGGAGCATTTATGGTGCGGATTTTGTTTAGGAGACTTCAGAGAAGATTCGGGTTCTGAAGCTGAACATGAGAGAGGCGCAGAATCGGCAGAAGTGTTATGCTGATAAGAGGCGCAAAAAGTTGGAGTTTGAGGTTGGAGATATGGTGTATCTCAAGATGGCGATGTTGCGTGGTCCTAACAGGTCCCTTACCAAGACTAACCTGAGTCCGAGGTTTATATGTCCTTTCAGGATTGTGGCTTATCGGTTGGAGTTACCTAAGGTAATGCATGCATTTCATAAGGTATTCCACGTGTCAATTATAAGGAAGTGTCTTCACAAGGATGATGAGGTGTTGGCTACGATCCCGGCAGATCTTCAGCCTAGTGACCTTGGAAGCAAGGCCAGTGAGGGTTCTCGAGAGGCGGGTAAAAGAACTTCGATGGACTGTGATGGAGTCTTGGAGGAGACTTGGGAGCCAGTGGGACTGTGATGGAGTCTTGGAGGAGACTTGGGAGCCAGTGGCCAGGATGAAGGCAAGGTTCCGGAAGTGGTTTGACAAGCAGGTCGAGGAGTAGACCGTTGGCTTGTTTTGTTTTGAGTTTTGTTTTGGTTGTATCTCTTTTGTATTTTCATTTTTGGTGTAATGATTATGACATTGGTGATTAATAAGATGTGTATTTCTTGGATTTGACTTGTTCTGTCATGTGTAAGAGAAATATGTGCAAGGGGAGTGGTGAGACTTCCTTGATACCGTAGTCTAAGGCAGAGGCCTGAGGACGAGCCAGTATGATTCATGGGTTGCGACCAGTGGACGGGGGAAGTGGGTGAGTACGAGCAAATAGGGTCTGGAACGTGAGTATATGGATTAGATAGGAGCCTCAGAGGAGTCAGTTGTGGGAGTGCAGATCGTTTGGGACGGTTGCACGGAGTCCGACTGATGGAGAATGTTGAAGGATTCGAGGACGAATCCATGTTAGTGGGGGAGAATTGTAACGTACGTGTTCTGAAAATAATAGGAGACTTGATTGTGTATAAGAATTAGAGTGGAGTCGGTTTATTTCCGGTTGATTTCCTAAACTGGTCGATTTGTCAATTGAATCAAAGGAGGTTTAAGTAATGTCGGTTTAGGTAAATCATGGTTTAATCAGAATAAACCAAAAACCCTAACTTTTATAAGGAGCGCTTCTTCTCTCTTTTGTTTAGTCGCTGTTGTTTCTGAGAGTTGAGTTGAAAAAAAGGAGAAGGCGAAGTTTACTTGTGAGAAGGAGAGTGTTAGCTTTGCTTTGGTGTTTAAAGCAAGAGAAGCAGATTCGTCACGTATTGGTAGAACAGAGTTCCGACGTACCAAAGCTTATCTAAAGTTAACGAATTTTGGTAGGTTTGTTCCTAACGCGTGTACGTTAATTCTCCTGTTTACAGAAGTGAATTCGGATTAATACTCAGTGAGTTATATGCAGTTTGGTGAGACGAATTTTCTCTGTTGCGAACTGGGATCAGCGAAGTTTGTAAGTGCGATCGCGGTTTTATCGCTTCTCTGATCGGCACCAATTTTTGTGGGAAGCTTTGTGACGTCTGGATCTTGTTTTTCACCGTATGGATTAAGAAGTTAACGGTTGGTTTATGTTTTAGGGCTTCGTTTCTGCCGCTGTAGTTTTTCTGCTGTTTTTGTCCTTTTGGTTCTTAGAGATTTTTGTTTGTGTGGTTTGTTGTAGGGCGTTGTTTTGCTGTTGCAGTCGCGAAGAGAGGTTTTCCTGGTTGTTTTTGTTATTCAAATCACCTTGCTAAGGTGAGTGCGTGACCATGAGCTTATCTAAGCGATTGGGATCGAGTGACTTGTTTTGTGATGATTTGTAGGTGAATTGGATGTGTTATTTGATGTTTAGTTTGCTGGATGGTTTGTTTTTGTTATATATGTGGGTGTTATCTCATTGCTTGTGTGTATAGCTCGCAGATGGGATGATCGCCCTCACTAAGTATTTATGAAATACTTATGCATCTCTTTCTTTGATGCAGATAAAAGCAAAGTGTGATCCATGGAATCATGGCGAGGAGAGGAGGATGATCTACGCGATCATTGGAGTTTTAGATTATTGTTGGATTTGTTAGGGTGTTAGAATGAAATTTATAAACATGATCATGTTTTGGAATAATGTTTTCAATTTGGTATGATTAACCCTAACAAATCCAACAATAATTTAAAACACCAATGAGCGCCTAGATCATCCTCCTCTCCTCGCCATGATTCCATGGATCACACTTTGCTTTTATCTGCATCAAAGAAAGAGATGCATAAGTATTTCATAAATACTTAGTGAGGGCGATCATCCCATCTGCGAGCTATACACACAAGCAATGAGATAACACCCACATATATAACAAAAACAAACCATCCAGCAAACTAAACATCAAATAACACATCCAATTCACCTACAAATCATCACAAAACAAGTCACTCGATCCCAATCGCTTAGATAAGCTCATGGTCACGCACTCACCTTAACAAGGTGATTTGAATAACAAAAACAATCAGGAAAAACTCTCCTCGCGACTGCAACAGCCAAACAATGCCCTACAACAAACCACATAAACAAAAATTTCTAAGAACCAAAAGGACAAAAACAGCAGAAAAACTATAGCCGCAGAAATGATGCCCTAAAACATAAACCAACCGTTAACTTCTTCATCCCTTCGGTGGAAAGCAAGACCCAGACGTCACCAATATTCCCACAAAATTTGGTGCCGATCAGAAAAACGATGATACCAGGATAGCACTTACAAACTCCGCTGATCTCAGTTCGCAACAGAGAAAAAGCGTCTCACCAAATTGCATATAACTCACTGAATATTAATCCGAATTCACTTCTGTAAAAAGGAGAAACAACGTACACTCCTTAAGAACAAACCTACCAAAATTAGTTACCTTTCGATAAGATTTGATACGTCAGAACTCTATTCTACCAAGACGTGACGAATCTGCTTCTCTTGCTTTAAACACCAAAGCAAAGCTAACCCTCTCCTTCTCACAAGTGAACTTCTCCTTCTCCTTTTCTCAACTCAACTCTCAGAAACAACAACGACAAAACAAAAGAGAGAAGAGAGAATGAAGCGTTCTTTATAAATCTA